TTCATGAGCCTAAATGGTATCAAAACATATACATATTATTCACCACGACCAATGTAAACAATTTTTAAAGCCTCTTGGTTGCAATCAATTAATTGATTTCTTGGTCACTTTACGACCTTATGTATTTTATAAGGACTTGGAAATATTAAAAAGAAGTTGATATTTGCATAAACACAACTGTTTTATATTGTAGGTTGAAACACTGTATATTAAAAGATCTGCCTGAAAGATACTTCTGATTTATAAAATATAACGACAAAGCTACGTAGTGTTTGTTAACTGATAAATCTGTGTTTACAAAGTATGTGACATAAGATTGACTGAAGATTTAGGATACCTTACACAACGTATACTATGAATAACCAAGTCTCAGGCATATTATCAATTTAGCTGAAACATGTCTTTACTAAACTTTTAGGATAGTTTACTTAGCTATTTTTATTTTAAACATTTATACGAAAAACAATTCTTTAAGGTAAAATATCTGAAGGGCTTTGTTGTTAAAACATCGTTTGTATTAATAGTTTTGATACTCATAGTAGTTGTTGTTACCTACAACATACAAACTAAATCATTATTATAGACACTATAATGTTTATCCAGAGAGGAATTTGAATATCCACTTACAATGAGAAACCAGTTGTCCTAAGCCCGAAGACTTAGAAGAATACCTTAAAGTTAAAACCAATTAAAGTAAATAATTGATTTTATGCCAAGAAGAGTATGAAATTAACTTTCCGGGTATGAATTCAGTACCTAATAATTACATTAATTTGGAATTACTATAAATATAACAAAAATTGTAATATTGTTGGGTTTATAATGGCAGGGATGATGCTTTTAAGGTGAAATGTAATATGAGCTTCATTGCAGCCACTTAACAATCATTTATGTAAGAATTCCTCATTCCTTATCTCAACCCCTCCCGGAATTCCTTCAGACAATTTATTAATAACATATCATTGTTTTTTTTTCTGAGTTTTTAAGTAGAAGTGTAAAAAAGGGAGTGTTTAGCTATTCTACGAACTAAAAAAAGTGATGTGTTATTGTTAACTAATGTTTGTAATTTGAAATCCGAAATACAGGGTGATTTTTTTACGCAACCCAAATTAAAAGTTCTGCGAGACACATTTTAATGGCAAAGAAAGGAATGTTGGTATTCCTGTTTTCTTTACCTCATTGCCGATCAGCTGATATGCATTGTTGCATGGGATTTAGAGCCGCTTTCCACTTAATCTCGGTTAACTTTAATCGGTGTGTTGGATGGCTTTCCCCACTATTTTGTCATGAAAGTTTAGTTTAACCTAGCTTTTCTTTGCAAGCAACAATGTTGGCAACACTTTTATGCAATTTTGTCTGCAATATTAGCTGTTTAGCTCCCCACTATGACATATCTGTCATTAATTTTCTCGTGTTTTGGTTATTTGAATTAAGTTTCGTGTCATTGTCTCCAATTGTTGACATTAAAAAGAAACATTTTTATTCGCAGGCTGGTAAATTGTATTGATGCTAATTTATAAGCATTTCAATTCTTGTGTTTATTTAAGCTTAAATTTAATTAAACAGTAGGCCTACTGTACGCATCAAATAAAAACATTAATTACAATCATGGGAAAATAAAATGTTGGGATAGATGCAAAATTAATGTTTGTGGATTAAAAACTAGAGCCTATCCTTTGTAATGGCAGGCCTAGGCTACTTATCAGCATTAGACACGTTCGATTAATGTTTCAGAACTTAATTTAATTTTAGGCCTACTACAGTAGTTGTTAATTCACACATGATAATAGGCTAGTGGTTAGGCCCGAATGTTAACTAATATTTACTTTTGTGTAATGTAGGACTCGTGTTAAAATAAAATCAAAAGAAAAGGCTTCTTATGAGCAAACTTTCCAACCAATTTTGCTTTGCTGTGGACAAGGTAGCCTATCGATTGTACACAACTACGATAATACCTACCAAAAATATAATAATTTAGGCCTACTCTATGCATTTAAAACCCTTAAAACCATTATATCTGTAGCCTTATATCTTTAAATTTGAAATTGTCTACATAGGTTATGGTTTGCTATATCTTAATTTATTTCCAGTTCAGTTTATTTTAGGTTATGTTTGACAAACGTCAAACAAGGATATTTGTCATTGCCGTCTGCCGAACGTAACCAGTCAGCCAAGAGCCAATCAAAATCAAGCTATTATTCTTCTCTTCTGGTTTAACCCATAGATCGCCAGTTAAACCAGTCCACCCGGAGGGTTAACTCAAACCTAGTTTAAACCGAGAAATTATTTTGGGGAAAGTGGATTTGAGGTTAAACTAGAGTTTAAACCGCGATCAGAGTTAAACTGGATTTGGGGAAAGCGGCCCTTAGTGTTACATTGAGATTTTAATATAAATAAGACTCAAAGTAGTGTTTTCCTAAGCCCGAAGACTTAGAAGAATACCTTAAAACCAATTAAAGTAAATAATAGATTTTATGCCAAGAAGAGTATGAAATTAACTTTCCTGGTATGAATTCAGTACCTAATAAATACATTAACTTCTACTCCTGAGAGATTCAAACTTTTTAGAATTATGAGAATAGTATCAGCAAAATCTGATTGCAGTTGAAAAGTGTTTGGTTATGAATTAACAGGATATATAAAATAGATTTAATATATTTACACATTAAAGACTAAAAAGTACAACATAATTTATAAATAAAAACAACTTTTTAAAATACCACGCTTTTAAACGAACAAAAAAGTAGAAAATAATTTTAAATATAATTAAATATAACTTTAAATACAATTTTTAATATTAATTTATAAATATGTGGAGAGAATAAATACTTGTAAGATTTAAAACAAAAAACGTGGGCGCATGTTATAGATAATAATAGTTCAATTGGGGAAGATTATAATTGTAAATTAGCTATTGCATGCGTCCACGTTTTTCGTTTTAATTTTACAAGTATTTATTCTCTCCACATATTTATAAATTATTTTCTTCTTTTAGTTCGTTTAAAAGCGGAGTATTTTAAAAAGTTGTTTTTAGTTAGAAATCTTTTTAATAAAATCCCAACAATACTTAACTTCATAGATAACTAGGCCTATTCAACAATGCATATCAGCTAGTTAAGAAAAGGAAATAGGGATACCAACATATAAGCTTGCTTTGTCGTTAAACTGTGTCTTACAGTACATGTAATATTTAAGTTGCGATTAAAAAACACCCTATAAAAGATAACCATTTGAAATTGTATACTCAAATTACCCATTCGTTCTTGGTATAAGGTAAAAGGCTTTTAAAGTTCCTGTATGGGAGTAATTTGAATTGATTTTTAAATCCGATGATTGAAAATTTACAACCGTCAAATATTTTATCATATTTAACAATTTATAGTTCAGTATCAATAATCAAATATATTGTTCACGAATTCAAGTTACAGTGAACTTATTTCAATTTAATACACCAGTCATTACAACAGAGCTACAGTTTAAATTGTCGAATTGTATTTATATTTTACAGTAGCCTATGATATTCTAGATACTCAATTGATAATTATTGCTAATACTACCGACAAATAATTATATTAAAATAATAAATAATAATAAAATGATTTGGTGTTGTCAGTGTGGAAGCTATTAAACATTTATTAAAACAGTCTGATTTTTGGATTTTTTTTAAACAAATTTTTCAAAGTACAAGCTTAATGAGGAAAATATCATAACATCGTTTGGCTATAATAATATGGAATGTGAGAACAATTTAAATGAACGTATTTTTCATCGGTCATGACATTTTTGACGGAAGGCGTGAATATGCTTGATTGACTGTTTTAATAACGCCCACCCTCGTTCATTGGCTATGCATGTTGACAGGTCCATGGAAATAACAATACACTTATGAAATAAGTTTCTAAAAATCCCCCCGCCACAGCAAACCTGCCGACTAAGCGAATTTCCATTTGTCTAAATTGGTTTTCAATCAAATGTATTGAAATAACATTAGGTATAATGAGTACCTGCTGCTTCAAGGAAACTTATAAAGTGTGTTTTTTTAGTAAAATATGAATAACTTATAATATAATAAATAAATTACAGTAGCCAAGTTTGATAAAAATATATCCATAAAAAACAACCTACAAAATTTTACAATATTCTCCTTAAGAATAAATAACATGGGGATTTTAAATTTAGAATTCTTTGAATTTTCTCCATTACCAATAACCGTACAAAAACACTTAAATATACTAAATCATTTGTTTTTTAAATTCTTTAAAAAGGTCTAGAGAGAAATTGGCAAATTTTGTGTTTGAGGGTCAAAAATGAGAAAACGCATTTTTTACCCCATAAAACCCCCCGTAAAACCCCGTTCCCATCGTCCGATCATGGTGGTTTGCGAACTCATCCAAGTTTATCCCACCTTACACATTTAAACAAATTTAATCAAAATCGGACAAATATTACTCAAGTTATCGCATTCACGAACCCAAAAGCAGCATTGACCTGAATTAACATATTTTCATACACAATGTTTACATGTTTTGTGTATTTTTTGTCAACTTTGACGCGACCAATTCAAGAATGGTTTAAGTTCTTCAAGTTTGTGACCTGATGATGATGTGTATACATTGAAACGCGCGTAGTCCAGTACAGGAACAGAGGAATCACGAGGCAGTTACAGGTATTTTAACCTTTTTACAATATTATATTTTCATAGCTCATTAAATTTCGACAAGAGGCTTAAATACACCTCAAAAACGTACTTCTGTTATTAAAACTTCAACATTCCTACGTTCAAAATAAAAATAAATGGAATTTTTTTCTTGGGTATGTTGCTAGCTAGTGCGTCACTGACTTCGGTGCCGAAGGGACGGGCTCAGTTCCCAGCACATCAAAAACTTTAACAGGTTTGGTACTCTTTCCCCAAAAATAGTTTTTATTGACTTAATTTAAGATAAAATGCCACTGGCGTAGGCACGAGCAACAAAACAAACGTCCATCTTTGTATGTTGCAGACAGGAGAGTCCAGGATGGTCACGTGTGTCTGTAGCGTCGCACGGTAGCCCGGCCTGTAATGTACGGATGGCGATGTACCTATTCGCCAGTCGGCTGTCGTCGGCTGTGTGTTCCCGGAGACCAGTCACTCGCACCGCACCCTCCAGACCCGTGCCCTCGCCGTGTGACGACTGTTCTCGTCTGGTCACTCCACCCACTGCAGAACCCCCACCCCCACCTCCCATGGTCACTACCTCGGCCGTCGTGGAGGTCACCCCTCTACAACGAGGAGGCGCCACCAGAGCCACCGTGGGTCCCTGTGACCGCCACCACCGCTGCGACGGGAAAGTGCCTTCCACCACCAAACATCGCGTCAGGTTCGCCAACACCTTCCCGCGCGTCAACCGCAAAAAGGTAAAATATATTATACTATCTTGTACCCTCAGCCTGCGATGGTATAACCATAAATATCATACAGCATAAGAAATAAACAGAGTATTACAATCATTACAATATTGTAATGGACTGTAGTGGCTTCGAAACGATTACAAAAATACGATATTATCATATTAATTGTGTCACGCTTAGTTTAAAAAAAATCATGTTACTATTAAAGATTTTACAGCGATTAAAATTCAATTAAAAACTAAATCAATACTATTTAACACAAAACAACATGTTTAATCTCCGGCTAAAAATGCTTACAATACAAAATCTTGAAACTGAAAATGCCACGACTCTTCAGCTTCTCCAAGTATAGTTCTTTCAAAGCTATATCGGCTCTTTTCCACCAGAACAACACATCCAGCAGGCTAGTTTTTCCATTGCTCATCTTCCATGCTCTGCAGTGTATACATTCGCTGTCCATTCAATATATTTTAAATAACATTCTTGTGTTCTATAGTCTATATGTTATATTGTTGCGTGGTATTCCATTCCATAATCTTAAAACACACACACCAAGTATCTCTGTTGAATGCTTGTCGCCAATTATTAAATTTAAACCTATATAACTGTAAACAATCCTACTTTGACATTTCTCATTGCATATTACTGCTTTTTGTTGCTGCTAGTTCAAATTGTCCATAAATGAAAAAAAAAACAATTAATAGTGCTGCACCCTGTTGGTAAACCTTTTAACTTTTTAATGCTATTGAATATCATATAACCAACTTGTCTAGTTGAAACAGCTTTAAAAATTCTTTAATTCCTTTTAATATGAATACTCATAAGGTTAACATGGGAGGAGACCGAAAGGATTTTGATATAAGGATAGGCTTATTTGTATTATATAGCTTATTATTATTATTATTATTATTATTATTTATATAGCTTATTTCGGGAATATGATCATAATGCCAAATTTCACCCCAACCCAACCAGTAGGTAATGCGTAATTGTACTTCAAACAACAAAAATTCACATTTATAATATTAGTATGATACCCCACCTAGAGTGTGTGTATGAAGACAAAGTTTTTTCGTCATACTGAATCAAAAACGGCCGGTAAACTATGCTTACATGGCCCCCTAGGTAGTAAAGAGGCTTTTAGTCCCTAGGGAGTAAAAGTTAGCTGTTGTTAGCGCGATTGTAAGAAATTGCATACATCGAAAATATTTTAACTACAGTACTGCATTAATTTAATTGGTTGTAGCTTTGACTATTAATCCAATAATAGTCAATGGTTGTAGCTTAATGTTGCATTCTTGTCATTAGTTCGACATATCGATAGTATATTGTACACTAACACAATCATAGCAGACGAAACGATTAAATTGATTTCTAAACCACTGCTTATTTTCATTAACAAGTTGAAAAAAAAGCTAGAAGTCGTTTTGAGAGGTTTTTACATTAAAAGGATATTCGTTTTCTAACTTATTTTGTTAAATAACTTTGCAATATGACGAAAAATATAGTATACCTTACGGGATAATGTGCCTTTAAACTCTCACTAATTGTCCGACCTCGGTTTCGACTCGATCGTGAACTTGAGCTCGGGTTGGAAAGAGTGACTTTATGCCCTAGTGATGAAATATAACATTTCTTTGCATTGGTTTTACCAGCCTCGGAAATTTACAATCTATGTGAACTTTGCTTATCAATAGCCTAGACATAAAAAATGCACCCCTGCAACAGCAAAAGTTATGTTAAAAAAAAGGTTCTGCCATATTATTGAAATCTGTGGAAATTATACATTAAATCTAGAACTCAACATGTAAAGATACAGGCGATATGATACAATTGAATGTATATACTTAAGCACACAAAACGAAATGCATTTCTTTGAAATCGTCTCTAGTATTTTTAATACTGCAATGCCATTTGCTCGGTCCAGTCCATTCAATTCCATTGTTTCTTTCAGACTCAATAAATTCTCTTGAGAGCCTTTAAAACAGTGTCGTTACCATAAAACAACCTGTGTGAAATTGTGGAGACAAAACAACCCTTTTAAATGCTTAATCAAACAAAACTGACCTCCTTCCTTTGAGAAAAAAAAAAAAAAACTTATTCGTGCATGCATAATACTTTAACCACAGATAAGTAATATCTTCTCTGTGCTTTAACTGTAGAGCCTTATGTTAGTTTTCGTAAAATTTAATGGTATTTAATATTATTTTAATATTTTTAACATCTGCCTTATGGGTTGCCCAGTAGCCATGTTGATTTTACGGACAAATTTAAAGAAAAGTAAACTTCGAAAATGTGGATGTGAAAATATAATACTCATAACATATGATTTTAACAACCCTCAGTATACTATTAAATTACAAAATACAGTAGGTCTACAAAAGAAAGGGACATTATATAAATAACATTTATCATAAATCTTTTCGCCTAAGAGAGGATAGTGCAATTACAAAAAAATTAGGGTATAGGCCTACTGTAAAGAGAAAGGAAATTTGTCAATAACATATATAAAGAGATAATGATAAAAAATACTTTTATTAAAAGCATTTTACAGAATAATCAAGAAAGGAAGTAGAATTCTTATCTAAATAAAGTTTGGACTTAGGAAACCATTGTCCAAAAATACAAAAATCTTGATAATTATGTAACCGTTAAAATAGGTAGGTTTAAATGCATTTGCTTGGGTATCCACCAATCTCTATGCATTAAAAGAGCAAAATAATCTAATGCTGGTAGCCCTGTGAAAGACTTTCATGACTTTGACGAATAACAGCAATGAGTTATGTCAAAATCAGGAATTCTAACAAATATCAGTTTCTCTCTCGTTTGCTTATTCAGGCATTTAGGAAATAGAATTTTTATTCAAAAAAAATCTCTAAATAAACTTGTGTTCGTGATTATTTCTTTGCAATTGCCTTATACAAAATGTCATGAATTTATATGTTTTAAAGAAAAAACGGAATGGCACGAATCTCGCTAACAATGCGTTTTATATGATACGAGGTGTTAGCCCGTCCTACGTACGGGAGTAGTGAGTTAAAACTGTGTATAATTCAGAACAGCTAGCTTACACGTATAAAGACAAATTTTATTGCAGCCTACAGTAGAAAGAGTAACTATCAATTGAGAAGTTTATAGGCCTAGTCAACGATATCACCTTCCAATTCCATCGCATACCTGCCTCTTCCATAATCAATATCACCACAATACAATTACTCATACTGTGTATAAACATCTTCCAGTAGGTCTGAATAGAAACTCCCTAAAATAAAACGTAAACATTCAATAAAATTCACAGTACACACAATTATAACGTTGGTGTCCTGACATCATTAAACGAATCGTCCACACCTATCAATTTCACTGCATCAATTGCTAAATAAATAAGTGTAAACAAAGAAAAGTAAAAACAACAACATATAGTTTGTTTTTGTAAACAGCTGAGTCAAAAATAAAATAATATTCATTTGAACAAAACAACTGGTCACAGGTTGAAGGAATTTGAAACGTAAACACGCTAGTAAAGCTAGTGACGTAATCAATTGTCTATGTTTATTATCCATTCCGTTATCAGTTCTAATATCCTTAATAATTAAACCACCCTCATTGAATCAATGTACACCGTAATTCCCCATATTCATTTATTTAAACTATAAAATATTCAAAGCCTCCAAACTTAACCACAACTAAACACACGCCAAACAACTTTTTAGATTTCATAAAAGGATGGTTAGTCTAATTGCAGAATCCTAGGTCAATCTATTGACCTAGGAATTGACGTTGTGCTCAATCTATGTCATTCATCTATATATCTTTAGATAAAACCCGTCTGAGGTTGTGGTGGTAATTTAAAATCGTATTCCTGAAGATTCTTGATCCCCTTTCTTTATGACATCAATATTTCCGGGCCTAATCCAAACAAAGTATAAGCATTCAAAAACATTGATTGTAAACAAACCAAGATGAATTAAAACTTGTAAAAAATGGATTTTCCTACCTTTTCCTAAAAAAGTTGAGCAGTAAATTAATATGTATATCTCTTTTTAAGACTCATGTACAGAGCCTCGACTTGTATACATCGATGGTGTTACTTATCTCGGTGGTCTACTAATCTTACTTATTTCCTATAATCAATGAGAAAATCAGAGTAAATAAAATAACCTCATAGTTTTATAGAGCATTTTTATATTTAACCAGCTGTTAGTTAAAAGAAAATTATATTGCACTAAAAAAAAAACCGAAGATAAAGATTTATTTAAAAAATCCTTTAAACATCCTAGTATTTTACTATGTATATTTAAATAATCTGTCACCCTCTTACAGAAGAGTTGAACGTATCAATGATTAGCATTACACTACACATAGTATAAGTCAACCCTAAGTATGTCTTTACATTTTTATCCAAATGCTGAATTTGTCACACAAAAGCTGAATGTTTACAGCTGTTATGTCAAGCAAATTATTTTATGCCAAAAGCTAGTTTAGAATCTTAGCGTCGGCTGCTAGACTTTTTAAAAATTAAAACTTAATTTCTGAAAAACTGGGACCCTAAACTAAAATTATGGCTTCGACATTCCCTAGTTTTCAAAATGATCTTTCTTTCAACACAAAAATCGTGAAAATCCGTCGAGTGGTTGATTCAGAATCGTGAAATAAAAAAACACTGTTTCGTTTTAATATTATAGATATTTAGTTTTATTTTAATAAATATACATACAATCCATTCCTAATATCTCTAGTACTTATTTACAGAACACCCTGTATAACAAGTTGAGCAAAAGACATTAGTGCGAATGTAGTTATACATGATTAAAAATAGTTGGTAAATTTCACCTTTTATCGTTATCTTAACATGTATGTGCTTGTATAAATTGGCTAGCTTATATGGAAACAAACTGACAATAACATGTCAAGTGTAGTGGTGTGTAATTGTATGTCATGATATTTGTTGACATAGCGTACTTCTGAGTCCCACGAGGACGGTGAGACAGGCAGTAAGGAGGATGAGGATGATGACGTCAATACTCTCAACACCAGATCCAGGGTATGTACTCAGTATAGGCCTTGATACTCAGTATAGGTCGAACACCCACCATGAATAGATCATGGACGTTATTTAATAACTTCGGTTAGTATGATTATAATGTTAAGATGTTTACTGTGAGGTGTTTAACTCAATATTTTATGGTGAACGGCTGGTAGCTACGGGGGCACGTAATCTTCTTGTGTTAGAGTTTCATTGGTTTGATCCAAATTTAAACTAGTGATAAAAATATAACTATTGTTTATATAGATTTTACTGAGTAAATACTATTCAACAAGACTCTTGTAAGTAATCCAAATATAATTTAGAATCGTTGGAAATTTAAAAAATACCTATAATATAAATAACTGGTATGTGAATTAATGAAATAAGCGTTTACAATAGTACAAAAATGTATTATAATGTAACACAATTATAAATTATATCTGTAACAAAAGCTAAAGCCCATTGTTGCAAAGGCTTACTTGGGCGGGTATTGCCTACTCGTAGACTAAGCAGTTTTTGTATCTGCCATTTTTAAAAGCTCTTTAATAAAACTTTATCTACAAATCATATGAAAAGCAAATGATTGCAAACAATGCATATAAATATGTGTAACGGTAATAGTTACAAAACAAGGTAAACTTGCTGCTCCTTAGTTTGCATAAACATTTCAACTAATTATTTTAAAATTTATAGCAGCATACGAGACAAAAGCAAATGTTTTTTGCAGGGGGAGAAAATACGAGTCATTGCCAAACGAGTGTTATCCCATGAAATGGTGTCCATCATTAAATGTCCGTTTACATTTTATTTAAATATTTCAAGCAGCATTTGTTTTATATTATAAAGTGTAACGAGAGCAAAACCGTTCTTCTGATTCTGGGAAAATTTGCTTATACTTTTTTTTAATAAAACAAAAAGGACATCTCTATTACTGGCTTGAAAGTGATTCGTATACAGATATGATTAATGGTGTTGTAGGATATTCTGAGGACAAGGGTGGCCGTAGACTATGACGGACGGATGAAGCAAGGGTCGGAACTGAAGTGACAAATGACTCTCGAAGAAAAGCTTTTTTGGTTTTGTTTGGTCATTATTGTTTATCTTGTATCCTCAAACTCCATCATCCGAGGCTTTGTCACACAAAGGTTCCTCCCTTATAATAATAATTTATGATTTTCTTTATAGTAGTTTCATATTATGTCAACGGTTGAAACTTCAATTCCCCTACATTTGGTTCTGAAACCCCCTATCTGAATTAAACCTGTCAACAGTTAAGCAATCAATGTGTAATGTTACTATTATTGGACTTTTCCTACGTTTTTTTTTAAACCATGCAATGTTTCTGGAGGTGGATTAACTCCTCACACTATCAAGTGAAAATTACTAATTCCACATTAATCTCATTTGTCCCTCATAAGGTGGCCAGTCAAAAAAACTGCTTACTGAAAACAACTAATTTGTCGTTTCACTTGATTATACGGGAGGAGTTGATCAACCTCAATTACACATTCCTCAATTACATGTTTACCATTCTATTACATGTTAACCAGCTGTATTGTTCTTGCAGGAGCTAGTATTCAGAGATGGCAACCTAGTATCAGGATCTCTAGAAGCCCTGATACAGAGACTAGTGCCTACTGCCGATCATCGCCCTGACCGTGCCTTCCTGTTTGCGTTCCTTCTTAGTTCCAGACTGTTTCTACCTCCCAACCAGCTGCTAGGCCAACTAGCCTTCCTCTCCGACATATCAAAATCATCAACCGAGGTAGGCCTACAGTCTTTATTTTTCATAATAATAGTTCCTCCAATCTTCACTTTTGATCGTATAAAATCATTAGCACACCATAGCTATAAAACCGCAATGCAAATACAATTGCCAATAAAAACTTTGTTTTATCATTCATTCAATAGAGATATAAGCCGCATATATTAGTCCAGATGTATGGTTTGACCATTTCATGGATGCGTCTCGCAATAAGATTATGTTTGATAAGATTTTGTTGTGTACTACTTAGTCATGAAAAGTGCATGGTGATGTTTAACAAACTTACATCATTCAGGTTAGTTGAGGTTTAATTCTGTACGCATGCATAATGTGGTATTTGTCTTTCATATTCATATTTTTTTAACATATTCCCTTCAAGTTTTAAGAGCCATGCAATTCGATTTTATAGCTTTTTTATTCAACCGCATATCCTTATACATTTAACTTTTCTAAATAAAAAAAAAGAAAACTAATTCCAAAGTAAAGGAAAAATTGTACAACTCGTTTTACAAGTTTGGATTTACTTTGCAACCAGATTAGATTAAACTGTCTGTAGTTAGTCAAGTGCTTTGTTGTCATCGGAGAACATCGTGACAATACACAAAGTGATTACTTCAAATTACTTGAATTAGTCAGTGCAAATACGACCAAACTTTCCAACGACAAGTTTCCAACTACAATTATTGCTATTTGTTAATTGAGTTTGGTCTAAGCAAGTAGCTATTATCATGAAAACCAAATACTGCCAACAATTTTTAGAATGTATTTATAAACATTTGATGTGCATATCCACGTGCACTAAAAGTCTGTGTATGGAAAGTGTGATGCAAAGCAAATATAAGCTGGTACACTACAAAAATTTACTAATACATTTTAAATGATGGTACCAAAGACTTGACCCAAAAGTCACAGTCTTGGATCAAAAGTCTGTCGCGCTACCAAAGCAACCGATTTACCAGTTGTGTGCACAAAAGGTAGAAACGAATCACTGAATTTTCGGAAGTGTAACTTTTAAATGATAACATAAAAGAACAAAACAATTTAATATTATTTATTCTCACAGTGATGCTTTTCAAATTTCATACTGATCAGCTAATCACAATAAAAATAGTCTTAGCCACACCCCCCATTTTTTCTGAGATACATGTTTGTCATGAATAAGTAAATGTTTAGTATTATTTATTCCGAGACAATAATACTGATGGCATGTCTACAGGAAGGACCAATACCTCGTTTGGTTCAGCTCCTGGCAGAGTGGATGGAGACGTTCCCTTATGACTTCCGGGACGACAGGGTGATGGCTCATGTACGGGCGATCATCAGGAAGTGTGTGACTGGAGGCGGCACTGAGGAGGTGTCTGCTATCCTGCAGACCTTGCTGGACCGCCTGACTGCCCTGCAGAGATACGAGGAATTCCTGCAGAGGCTGGGCTGTGAGCAGACTGAACTGGCCAACAAGGTGAAATCACAATAATTATCTAATAATAATACTACGAGCTCAATGCCTACTAATGTAATAAGCTTGCATACTATCCATATTGTTCGTCACGTATTCCTCCACGTAGTCCGTATATGTTGTATAGGATGAAGCCATTTGAATCCACAATACTTAGTAGAAATTTGAAGTTGGTTGATTGCATTGATATAAAAAAATAATACTTATATCGCGAAAACCAGCAGACTAAGCGGATTTGCCACTGCTTGGTTGAATTTGTATCGAAACAGATATGAGATCTACTTTTTGATCAATGTCCAGTATAATACAAACATTGGATCTGAGGATACGTAGTTGATAGTACAGCAACTTAGGTCTTAAAAAACACACTATATTATAATTGTAGTTTTAGATTAAACCTGGAACACAACGTTATTTACTCCAATTAATTGTAAAGCTTTAATTTTGAACGATAATCCATATTTTTCTTTGTAAATATTATATCTTCAACAGATTTGTTTTGCAATGCAGAAAGAGATAATGGACCTGTGCTCGAAGCCAGACGAGTTAGCTCAGCAGTTAACGGTGATCGAGCTGGAGAGGCTGTCCTACATCGGACCTGAGGAGTTTCTGCAAGCCTTCCCCAGAACAGGCCTCGGCGTGCCCTCAGTGGCCTCGGCACCACGCACTCGCAACCTAGAGGCCTATGTCGCCTGGGCCCACAGGCTGTCTTACCTCGTGGCCACCGAGATACTCTTGGTAACCATGTGGACATCAGTAGTTTTACGGTTATTTACTTAAAAATTTTACATGTGGGAAAATAAATTGTCATTTGAAAAAAATGTTGAATCAAGGCGAGTATCGAGTCTCCTAAATTATATTTGTGTTTAATCTATAAGTCATTTTAACAAACGTCCAAACAGCCAAAAGTTCTACTATTGCATTATTATCCTTATTAATTTAAAAAATAATACTTCGCAAACCATTAACCATTTTCGATTAGGTGTTCTGGTGATCTTTTCAAAAGTGTATGAAAATACAATGTCTAATTTAATCAACATTCATATATTTTGATTCGAGAGATTATAGCACATGGTAAACGGAACTTATGATTGCAGGTATTATCTTTCAATCTCGAATACCTTCAAGCTCTAACTACAAGTTGGCAATGTTACTATTTTCAAGATGTAGATTATATAGATTGTACGATAGATTGTATGTAGATTATACAAAGAGCCGATAGTATGTAGCATAAAAGATAGTGCTTGAAGTTTGTTGGTATTCTACCAAACGAAAAGGAAACCATTGGTATGATAATTAAAAATCATTATAGTTAATAGTTACATCATTGCAGTTACAGTATAATAATTACAAAAACGTAAACTATATTGTTCATGATATTGTTCCATCATAGTTATTTTTAATTGATTGTTGTTTGCTTAGCAAACGAAGAAAGCCAAGAGAGTCAAGATGATGGAACTGTGGATTTCCACTGCACAGTCCTGTTTGAACCATGGGAACTTCAATTCTCTCATGTCCATCATAGCCGGCCTCAACCTCTCAGCTGTTAAGAGGCTCCGCAAAACGGTTTGTTGTGTAACATCATGGCGTGGCAGTATAAAACACCTAAGAGAGTTATAAATGGAGTACCAATATTGTTCTACAATAAATAAATACAAGTACGATTGCTATACAGAACCGCCATTTTTTGTTTCTACTCATGTAATTGATATCACTTTTAAAACTTTAAAACAATTTGTTATTAAAAGTAAAATTTTTTGCGATTAAAGCAGTTAAAAATACTTCCTTTAAGAATAAAAAAGATTATTCAATTGAAAATTGAAAGGATGAAATTTGCATAAGCGCACTGCAATTTTCACCAGCAGCAGCTGGTAGTCATTATGTTGGGTAACAATACAAGGAAAGTTCATTAATCAAGCAATATGCAGAGCTTGGATTATAATAAGTGGTCAGATTTGAAATGTAAATGTCACTAACAAGCTCTATTCTTCTACAGCAAGAGACAAAAATTGTACTAATGGTTTTCTTGACTGCAGTTCAAAGAACCATTAGCCCTACATTTGTTGTATTAAACTTACTTGAAAAGAGAGATTTATTGTGCACAGAGTAGTGTTTTTACAAAGATGTCATTAGGGCTGGTGAGACGAGTTGAATGAAAACAGTTTATATTTCCCTACTTTAAAACTGGGACATTCTGTTGAGTTGCGGAAATCCAACGCTTGTTGGGGTCGTCTACTTTAATACTTAGTGTTCGATATTTTTAAACTATTCACAAAGTAGACGCTCAGTAATAAAAGGCTTAAAAAATAATACTAAGCTTCAATACTTTTTCTATGGATTGTTCTAATGAAGTTTTGAAACGTTTACAATAATATTAGCGTCAATATTTAAATTTCAAACCAATATTTGTAACGCTTTTTTCTATATTTGGATGTTAAATGGGCCTTTGAGGGGTCTAGGGTACATCATAATGTAAAACTAGTTAATTAGTGATTAGTTTAGTTTTTTGCACTTAAGAATAAAGCTAATAAATGCATGCAGTAAAGAATTCCAGTAATAAAACAGTAAATAATCACGTTAAGCGGGGACTGAAATTCAAAGCGAAATGCAAGACCCTTTGACGCATAAACTGCATTAGCCTAGAAACTATGTTTCTTGGTAGTTTTTGCATTAAAGAATTTTTATAACCATGTAAAGAAAATAGCTGAATTAAGAATTTTAATGTTGAAGTCATATTCATACTATGAAGTGCAGATTAAAGCGGATATCATTGGCCTAGTTGATCCACACAACGGAATGTAATATTTCCTAAAATGTAATATAAAAACAAGGCAGCACTGTGTATTGTACCAACCCAGTTGTGATTATGATAACATCCATGTATACCCCAGGTGCCGCATGTACTAGCAATACGTTTGTATCTGAATACATTAATTGTCATTGGCCTAAATATAACCGTCTCTAGAAAAAAATATTTGGCTTAAGCAGAAGCTATTACAGAACTTTGCTTACAATATTAAGACTTCTAGTTTTTAGCTGTAACGTTATGTTTACTCTTTATGTTTGTGTAAACAGCATATGTTTTCGCTATAAGATATCTACGTATTCTTTCATCAAGTTGATTTTCACCTTAATAGGGTAATGGATAGTTGCATGGCTTTTGGAATACATAGGATCCCATGAGACAATAGATGGTTCAAACCGTAAAAAAATGGAAAAATATGTTTAATATAGAATACAGAATGTAAAATTGAGCTTTTTAAATTGTTCATAATTTTGTTTAGTGGACAAAAACATTACTCCAGAAGTTCCACAACGTAGAAGCCCAGATGGATGCTGGAGGAGATTTCGCTCTCTACCGATCTACGTTGAAAACAGCTTCTCGTAGATTTGGCAGTAGCTCTCCCTCCCCCACCACTGACCAGTCAGGCACCGCCCCTACCACCGTCATACCGTTCTTCTCACTCTTCCTCAAAGATGTGTTTACTCTACAGGAAGCCTGCTTGAAAAAGTGCGTACCGTTTATTTTCCTGTATCCCGTTTGGTAATAACTTTCTACATTTACTTTAGTCTGATCAGAATAAAAAAGAAAACGAACAACCAACAAAAATTTCATTAGTAATTATTTGATAGCTTCTTGATCAGCATCGTACGTGTTATTAAAGTATAAGCGTAAATATATGTTTTAAGTGTTATAAGACGTTTCTTTATTTACTTCCGTAATTATTTGAAGCAACAGTATTTTTTTATTTATTACCTAAAAAAAGTAGTGTTATTTTGTTTGTCCCTACTGAAGCGAATTAAATTAAGTACCTCTTCCAAACTAGTTGCAAACACAACCTCCTCATAACTTGTTTGCATGCACTTACAAACCCATAAAAAGTACGTGGAGTCAATTACAATATTTTCTCTAAATTTCATTAGTGTTAAGCTCATAAAAAATTAACAAATACTTAGTAGTAACTTGGTTCTTAATTTTACATTATATTCTTGGCAGGCTGCCTAATGGCCATATAAACTTCGAGCGGTTCTGGCAGATGGCGAAGCTTGTCACAGAGTTTATCACATGGCAGCAGATCAGCAGTCCTCAGCCCAAAGACTCTAACTTGTGTCTGTACCTTCAGTCGCGGCGTCTCTACTCCGAGCCTGGTCAGTCACTGTACAATACGTATACACAATTTAGAGGTAAAGAACAAACTCAAGGAAGTCCTTGGAAATTGGAACCTGAAGATGTTCTCGTGTAACAGCATGCAATTACTAACTTAACTTTAACTTTGGTATTTGCTAACAAAGGTAATCTTGCCGAGGGCTCTAGATGCAGTACCCATAAATTATATAAAGTACCAACATTTAAAAGAAGGTCTTAAATTGGTAAGCAATGCTAACATTAAATAATATGCTATTAAAAACAAATACGAAACAGAAGAGCCATGTGGAGGGAAACATTTGCTTTTGTTAAATGATGAAGTGCGTATCTTGAAAGATATTTGACAAGAGTGTTTTGTCTTGTTGAGTGTTCATCATGGACTGGAATTCGATATCTTAGCACAGTAGAACATCCTCATGAAATATCGGAGATTTTTAGCGAGTGGTGCATTATTTTATCTTTCATATGATTAAAACATGAACAAAGTTATATTTGTATTTTAAGTCACGAATATGACAAGATTTTACTTTAAGTTGTGAACAAACTATATCCAGTTTATAAATTATACTAAAAAAAGTTGTTTTTAAATTGAAGAATCGGAGTTAAGATAATAAATAGCTATATACTATAACATCTGGCATATTGAGAGGCATTATCCTAGAATAAGCAATAAGCTACAGCATTAATTTGAATATGTTCCATCAGAGTAAACAATCATTACAATTTATCACTGGAAATAAATGAATGCATTCACTGTTCTAGAACTATCCAGATTGTCGTACCTGTGTGAGTCACCGAACAATATAATGGAGCAAGAACAATGGAAAACATTAAAGTAAGTAGTTGTTGAATCTAATTAATTTTAAGAAACTACCCCACTCGTAAATTAATTTACATTTTTCCAGTTTGAGTTCAATGGTTTTTTTTTCACTTGTCATACAATTGTTTTCAAAATATCTGTGCATGCAATTTTTATTATTAAAAAAAGAATGTAGCCTAAGCATCTAATCATGATTATTTTTTTCAGAAATCAAAACGGCTCAAAGGAGAATAAGTGAGGACATAGTTTGTCATACTTTTCGGAGGGTTGTAAACTCTTTATAAATAGCCTTTTCTCTTCTTATACAAAAATTAGGATTTTTAATAATTAGTTTAATGTCGGGCATGTAGGGAGAACGTGATATATAGGTTAACAAATTTGATTATAAAATGGTAATGCAACTATTATCTAATAGGTCATCCTTGGATGTTACAGATTTTAAAGTTATTAACGAAAAAACGTATTTTCCGAAAAATAATTCCGTTTTTTATAATGCTGTAAATAAAGGTTAACTATTAAAACAGAAATTATTCTGTACATAAATACATTTGGTAAATAATAATTCGGTATTCGGCTGCATTTAGCTTTGAATAAGTGAAAAAGCTATGTTCGTAACCTATGTAAATATTTTGTGAGGTTCAATATATAAAACATATATAAATCTATAATATAGGTGGATTGAATGAGAATACAGCACAACATTGGATATAAAATATGTACGAACGATATTATATATGATCAGGTATATACACAAATGGCACATACATTTCTCTTTGATTTTCGTACAAATGCATCATAAATGCAGCTAATTATAAGATATACCTCAAATATCCCTTTAACAGTTGTTTAAACTACAAAAATGGGATTTACTTATAGGTACTGGTAATTGATAAATCAATAGAATGTTTGAATATAGTAACTAAGAATGTTGTAGTTTCAATAGTACTGTAGGCCTAGTGTTAATCATCTAGAGTTATAAGAATGCATTTATATTTTTGTACTCTTGAATAAAATAATGAATTTTTTTAGTACCTAGGGTTGTTCCATTATTTCCTGCTTTCCTTAGCAATTGGACATGTTTTATTTTTAAAAATAGCTTAACTTAATCTGTTTGGATATGAATAATATAGGGTGGAGGAGAGGAAACCCATGTTTCTCGCTAATATGAGGTGACTATAGGATGTATTGACATTGAATAAGAATTACATGACGATACCAACGATATGTAACTACTGCGTTTTCAAGGATTTCAACTACTAGGTGAGTGGTCTGAGGTGTACAAAAAAAGTAAGCAAATTATATTTTTTTCTAAATAAAACATTGATAAAACAAATAGATTATAACATTACAACATAATAACACTTTTAATGCTCGATACAATACTTCATCATACGAGTACCTACCGTCCGTTTACTGTTTTTTGTTTATGCTTGTAACTCTCTCTAACGAAAATGGCTCACTTAGCAAGCCCTCGATAGTTCTTGTTCTTATTCTCGACATCGCTAGATAATGTAATCCGAGAGACATTTTGATTTTCCCAGGTCCACCAAAGCCTGATTTATAGTGACCATAAAGTTCTCCTAACTAAGAAGAACTGCAATTGCATAGGCAATACTTAGTGGGGATTGCCTTCGTGACTAATTTACTCCATTCATTATAAAGGAAGCAGTTACTCGCAATGAATAGGTAACAGCTCGTTGTACGATGTTGGTTAAATTAATTTTCCCAATAGCATTAAAATGGAAATAAGAAAATCTTCAACGTGATTTTCATTGTCAGCAAATTTTTTGGCCTATGATGTAAGCTGCAGTACATATGCTACCTATATAGGCCTGCTGCAGAGGTCCAACGATTATTCTGAAGAATCACACTACAACTTTTTAAGTAAAGATATGTTCTTAAGGCAGTCATTTCGCTAGCAGCAGTCATGTTGTTAATGACAATAGTACATGGTACAAGTACATTAAGGCTTCTTAGTTTGTTCTTATTGTACACCATACGTCGAATATTCCTTATGAATTAACCTGAATTTCTCCTGACAGTTTAAAAATACCAGTGTGGTGTTCATTTTGAAGATGGGGATTGTTGAGTCCTATTTATTTTTAGAAGAAACTGCATTTATTGTGATCAGCAGACTACGTTGAAATGTAAAACAACTTTCACCCTACAGAACTTAAAAGGCGAGTGACCATGTGAGAACTATGGGTTGAGCAGCTAATTGCTTTAGCTCACATGGCGATAGCGTCCATGGAAGTGGTTCGACAACATGTTCCCAGTCCATGTGATTTGGCCCCATCGCTCTCCCATTTGTCAACGTACGACTTATTTTCGTGGGAATATTTAAAATCAAGTCTACAAGGGCACACCTCACACTATCAAAGACGTAAATTGGTTCCATTCGTTAGGAAATTAAAACTGACCGAATGAAATATTGTAGAGAGCCATGCGTAGCTTTTAGGAGAGAATCCAAATTTGTATCTATCAAGAGGTACTTCATGCCATCTATAAAACAATAGTTAAAAAATGCATTTCCTCTTCTCTACCCAGTATAATAGTTTTTCAAAATTGAACAACAGGAGAGTAAGATATTAAAATGTAAGTAAGAGATGAAACAAAGGTATTTTATTGGTGCATTGCTGGACTAGTTACGTTATTATTATATATTATATTAATTCACAGCAAAATATTTTAATTGGCCTAAGTTATATTTTGATTACAATATTAAATATAAAACAATTAGAATTTAGAATTTATAATCTTAATATCTGTATATAGATAGAAAAAGTAATAGAATATTTGATATTCTTAATTTGCAATGTATCTATTTAATATTACAGATATTAACCCAATTTTATTTAAGAAAAAAAAATCCTCCAAAATGTTAAATTAATTATTTCTGGAAACTGCAATACTTGGTCAATTGACAAGGAAATCTATGATAAGAATCATCTATCACTTATCAATACTATTTCCAATATTGGTGTAAACATATTTAAGTGCATAAACCTTTTACATTTTTACCAGTTTTGCGTATATTAACGCCATGTAGAATCGGTTAGGGTAAATATCCTTCCAAATTTGAAGAATGCTCTAAAAATGTTGACGCCTGTGAAGCTCTAAGGAGGAATTACCAAGTTGACGACAGAAGCACCACTAAAGCAACAGTCGTTAGTGACGTCATCTGCTGGAGCTTTACGTTACTCTGGAGAACTTTCCCCGTGTAAACACATTGTTGTAAAACTCCTTCGAGACTACAAACATTACTGACCATAATGTGCATGTTTACGGCTTAATATTAGATATGTCCACACGTTGATATCAATATATTGTAGGCATATACGCTTTTTTATATCAGGTTTTTGTGTATTGTAAAGTAAGGGCCCAGACTTACTTGTGAGTAGTAGACAGTTTCCTAATATATTAGAATATATAGGAGTGAAGTGTACAAGAATACGTTTTTTAAAACCTCTGCCTAGGAGGCTTAGTCAACAATTTAAATTATAATAAAAAAAGTAAAACGATGCGAAGAAACATCGATGTTATTTTAAAGTGTTTTTCATGTTAGTTGTGACACTGAAATGCATGGCCTTGATGAAAATGATGTGTTCACAATTCGCATTGTAGAATTAAAATAAAATTTAATCTAAACCAGCTATTCCTCAAGCCAATGCCTGATTGGGAAGCTGTACCCACGTTATTTGAAGTTTTATTTTAGGCTGCATAATTAGCTCATATAGATAACTTACTATCACAAATATTACAGTAGTAACACAAATCTAAATCGGTTAAACTCAGTTTAAAAGTTGTACCAGGATGCAATGCGAAATTTGATGTACTTGTAAGACTATACTATACAAATGTTACGAGTTGTTCAAATACTTTTGATAAATTTTAAAACCAATGTTTACAAAAAAACACAAAAGCAAAATATACGATATATTTTGAACGTATATATTTAGCAGTTTTATTTAAACTCTGACGTGTAGGAATTTTTCGATAAGTAACTTATATTGAAAACAATGACATTTGCATTACCTATTAGGTAGATAAAATCAATATAGTGAATAACTGAGAAATATAACATCAAACGTAACAAAGAGAGGGAATGGAACAGAAATACTAACGTGATTTATTCCGTCGGATCGGATATTACGCAACAGCCCCAGGCATAGGCAGGAGAGCGATACTGTAGTCAGGATATTAACCTGAATGTGTGATATTAAACTTTGACTTTATTATTAATTTATTATCAAATGGATGGCATTATTATTCACGAGAAGCGCCATAGAATTGAATAACCCCCTAAAAAATATAGGTCCGAAACCTGTTTGAACACTTTTCTTGTTTAAATGTATCCTATAATGATTTATTGATACGAAATATATTTTGATAATAATAATTTGATTTATATTTTGTTAATCAAAAATCATGTTAAAATGATTTTAAATATTGTTTTGGTGACAAAGTATTTCGATGACACACAAATAAAATTAATACGTAACGGAATGTATTAGAATATGGGTTAAACAATTGGTATATCCAAACTCATGCCAGAGATGAATTATAGTGAATTTTTGTCAGCCAAAGATGATAAATCATTTCTGCTTCTGAAAAGTATATTTACATTTAAAAGATAAGTAAAAATGTGTCGGTTGCTAGATTCAGCAAAGATTATTCTTTGTTTACATTTGTCATACAAAGTGGAATTTTGGCACTTGAATTAGTTATCAGCAAAACTGATTACGGTTAGCTGGAACCATCAAGGGTTTTTGTGACAGCTGAGCTAAAAATCCACAAAACATAATTACGGTAAAGGTAATTTTATTTGTAATGTAATGTCTTTTGTTGGTTAATGGTCCAAATAAAGTTTTTCTTAATTGCGATTTGGATGAAAGAGTAAAATGTTTTAGATAGTGTTTTAACACTAACATTTTAAATCAATTATTAATTAAATTATAATACTACTAAAGTAAGATTTTCAAATTACACCTAATAATAAAGGTAAACAAACTATAAAGTGCAATTTTCATGTACAAATCATATTTTTTACCTAATAAAACTGTTTAAGTCACGAGGGTAATTATTTATCCTCTTCATTTACAATGATATTTTTCTCACTATTCGAAAATATAATTACTTGTTATTCCTTACATACTTTAAAGGTTTCCTCAGTTGTACTTGATATCAAGTTTCATTCAAAATCAATGGGAATTTATAAGATTGATAGTGGCTGTGATCTGTATTTGAGAGTAAATAACGTAAACGAATATACTTTTGGATACTTTAGGCCTCCAAAGTACACAACGATTGCTACCGTAAAGACGACGTTAATGGCCACTCCAGTTGGGAAGTTAAGATATCATAAACATATTAAGAGAAAAAACTTAAAAGGAGAGAGGAGGGAAGTGTTGTGATTTGATGGCATTCTCTACCTTAAAACCCATTTCCTACGTGATATACTAATGTATCAAGTGTAGTCAATAATAACTCTATCAGTCTGATTTATATAGGTACCGATATAGGGACCACTGTGTCTTCTAAGGATTACCATGATCTGAGCAACTACCGT